TACACAATGACTATTTCTCACATATATAAATCCACATGAATTCTTTCATTGAGACAGTGTGTGCAATCCTCTTGCCAGCTTGACGTCACCCGACCACTACAATCTAATACCTGCAAAATAAAGAAAGCAACAGGGTGACCTATAAATGCTCAGTAAGTAAACCAAATCTAACTACGCTCTTACTTCGCTGTCCCCGTTTTCGCAGTATTGCTTTTAAATTTCTGCTTGCTTTCTCTCTTTATTCTCAGGCGTACTACTTAGCAGTCTTCTATTTTTCTCAAATCTTTCTAAATCCTTCTAATGTTGTGCTATTCTTTATCATTTTATTTCTCTTCTCTACTAGATTATAACTTTCTATTTCTTTCTCTACTCAACAAATCGCTAAGTTTCCTTGCTATTTGTCATGTTTCTAATTTCTGTTCTTTTCTAGCATGTATCTAATTTCTATTCTTTTATTTTATATATCAAATTTCTTTTCTATTCTCGTAGGCTTCTATTTTATTTTCTTCTCTATTCTCATGGGCTTCTATTTTCTTTTCTTGGCTAGTCAGACACGCAATAATAAAATAAATTGTTTAATCTATGCATAAATGCATGAGATGCAATGCACATAAAATGTCTGATACATATGCAAATGATCATGTTTGTATTCTTTCTGAAAATTCTTTTCTAATTCTTTCTGAAATTATTTCTCTTTCTTTCTGAAATTCTTTCTGTTTTCTATTTCTTATTCTATTTTTCTTTCCTTCTGAAATTCTTTCTATTTTCTATTTCTTATTCTATTTTTCTTTCTTTCTAAATTCTTTCTGTTTTCTATTTCTTATTCTATTTTTCTTTCTTTCAAAAATTCTTTCTATTTTCTATTTCTTATTCTATTTTTCTTTCTTTCAAAAATTCTTTCTGTTTTCTATTTCTTATTCGATTTTTCTTTCTTTCAAAAATTCTTTCTGTTTTCTGTTCTGATTTGCCGATCGGACTAGGCTGAGGCATGGATTTGGAACCCTGGCCGTGTGAGCGTATTCTGAAATTCTTTCTGGGTACAGTCCTCATCCACATGCACTTCTAGCAGACTATACAATTCTGGTTTCTATTCTGAGGCCGCTCACTGATGGCGGCGTGCATGTGGGAAACTTCTGCATCTCTGTCGCCACTAGCTAACGCAGCGAATGCTCATAGGTTTCCCATGGCAACAGCCCCCTGAAAACATGCTCTGTAAATCTGCAAAATAACTAACTAGACATTTTCTAATAATTTTAAAATTTTTGAAATATATGTTATACTATGTCATGCATTTATATGCTGTCTATGCATGATCCCAAAATACGTGTCTGACTCTAGCATGTACTCTATTAATTATAAGGCTTTTATTTCTATACTTTTTTGGAAAGCCCAAAGTTCTATTCTAGTAACACGCTTAAATTAAACATTTTCTATTTTATTCTTTATTTCTGAATTCTATGCATCGTGTGTATGTACGCAATTCTATAATTTTTACATAATTCTGTAATTCTTCAATTCGATCATGCTATGTAAAATGTACACATACACAGTTACATTATCTCTCACAAATTCTACTCTCTACCATTTTCTAATGTAACAAACATGCCTTGTACAACTTTCTAAATACAAATCTTAATGCCATAAATTTTCATTCTCTTAACATGACCATCAACAGTGTTATACATGCCCTTCTTTCTTATTTTCTTTTGGCTACATTCTATACGTTAATCTATATTGCCATATTAATCATTGTAAATTCAATCAAACATATGGCACAACATATATACTTGGGCTAAATTCTAATTTCTTTCTAACATTCTTAACTAAACTTTTGGCCAATACAACATATTCTTAAGGTCTTCTAGCACAATTCTATAGCTTGTAAAATATAATAAGGCATGAAAACTATACTCATACCAATCAATTTCTAAAATGGTCATGTATTTAATACATAAACTAAACTTATATTTCTCTGATGTTTCTTTGATATTTATACCTGGGAAAACTTTTCTATTCTTTATACAATAAAATCACTTATTACATATTTCTTATAACTAATCTCAAAACAAGAAACAACAATATACTCATTTGGCCAAGCCATTCTTTGAATGATCTTTCTAATTTCAAGCATACAAGCTTGACAATTTATTGTGGCATATTGTAATATTATAATATAATCACCCATCTTTTACTATCATCAATACTACACTATTGCAACAATTTAATATTCAATTCTTGCCATCACTTTTCTAAAGTCATAAGTTTCAAAACTCATAATTTCGTGACTAAATACAATATGTCATTCAAACTAATGCTAAAAGTTCAAGCAACTTGAACCAAGCACTAAAGGCCATTCATTTTATTGAACAAACTTGACCAAGTGATATTCTAAATTTTGGCATAACAAAATGCACTCTTGAATATTAAAACTTACACTTGGTTAAGCCTAACATAAACTTTCAACTCCAATTCTTTCCTTTCTCAAACAATTTCTTCAAAAAAATTTAACAAACTCATGCATGCACTTCTCTTTGAATTTTCATCAAACAATTCACATGCACATGCAAATACTTGGTTGGCCACACTTCCACATCTCTCCAAATCCAGCAAAATTGGAGCAAAAACTCGCTAAACTTAACTTCAAATCTGGCCAGATTCAACACTTCCAAATTCCAACATCAACTCATCAAAATTTCATCCAAAGTTCAACCAAAACATCGCATCTACATAACAACTCATCTTGGCTGAACTTCTACACATTATTCTCCATCAAACAAGCATCTAAACAGCCAATACTTCTTATCATACATCATACACAAACACTCAAGAATCAACTTACACATGTACTACTCAAATTAAAGCTTAGATTGGGTTTACTTACCTTTTTCTTGCAAGAATCCTTTTCTTTGCTTAGTTTGCTCACTTTCTCCATTGATTCATGCTTAGAAAGCCACAAAATGAACATATATTCACTTAGGCATGAATTCTCATGTAATTCTCTTGGAAGACTTTGAAGAAATGGAGGAGAAATGGGGGAAGAAGGTGGCGTGCTCAAGGGATGAGAATGGCTAGGGTTTTGTCGATTGAAGTCTTATAACTAATAATAATAATATATATTCCTATTTTTCCATTGCACTTTTATGATAATTCCAATTATGCCATACGTGCATTTACCAATATACCCTCACTTTCAATGGATTTAACACATGTTCTTGGTCATTTTCACTCCCCACTTTTTCATCTAGTTGTTTTACCCTTATTCTTTAATTTCTTTCTATTACTTTACAAACACGTATTTATCTCGGCATCACACCACATGTATTTTCCATAATCTTCCTACCACTCTATTCTCATAGCTAGCATACTTAATACATTATATTTATCATACTCACTTTTCACTTAAACACGTGATTCTATGTGAAATGACCATTTTGCCCCTATTGAAACTTTTATGGAATTCCTCTATAAAACTCGTTAAATATATTCACTATAACTATAAAATAATCACTACCATATTTCTGAATGTGGGTATTACATTAAACAATATAATGTGCAGACATCATAACTGAATGTGCCAACACTTAATTCATAAGTTGACAAAATTACTTACAATCTCCGCTTTTGTCAAACTTATGAACAAAGCAAAATCTTGATCAAACGATTAACACAAACCTATCTCAAACAAAGATCATCAATAAAAAAACAGAGACAGGTGCCCTAGAGTAGGTGCCCTAGAGCCAATCATATCGTTGTATATTGACTCTATGGATCATGATTATTCAATCTATAAAAGGCATCGCTTATATTATGTAAAGCATATTCCATATATATGTATTAATATATGTCCTTAGAGTGGTTGAACCGTGACGAGAGAATCAAGCAGTGATAAGTCTTGATTGTGAGATCCCTATGATCACTTATGGTGGCCATCTTAGAAACATCTGTAGCCCTAGTATTATCCTGACCTAGGGCATAGATAATACAGTAAAGGCTATCATAGCTTTGAATGACCCTACTAGATGGTAGTGACAGATCTCACATGTCAAGATTGTTTGGTGACAAATTGGTACAACATATGGGTGCTTGTTATTCACAAGTTCATCGAATTGGCCTATCAAAAGATTCCATATAGATGGTAACCCTAAAGTCCATGGAATACATCCTCTAATAGATGTTGGTTCATGTGGTCCTTAGACTTGAGATCACCAAAGCACCATGTATAACTATTGGTGTAGTTTGACACTAGCCAAACGTAATCCTATTTAGGGTTAGCAGTATGGTAGTGATTGGTTGCATTGAGAATTACATCATGGCTATGGTGGATTGACAAAGGATTCATCACTCCTAGGGGTAAGAGAAATTACCTTGGTGAGATTTTTGGTAAGAGACAACGACCTTGAATCTGTGGCCATAGTGGAATAGAGTTGATGCTCGGTTGGTCGATTGGTTCAATAACCGAATCTGAATATGTCAAGGTGGTTTGTACTTGAAGCTGACATTATTTCTATGTGATGCAGCGAGTTAGTGTAACAACAAGGCTAACACTCGACTATACCTTTAGAACTGATAAACAAATCTCAATCATAGAAACTTAGGCCTTAAATCTGAAAGAAAAATTGAATAATTCATTCAATATTCTATCTCCTCAAAAGAAACGAATAATAAGTTTATATAGGGTGGTTACAGCCAACCCTAACAAGACTCTAATTAAACAAGGAAATAAAATCCTACTTAAAATGAAAACTAATTAAAACATGAAATCTCAATTGTTGACTAATTATAAAATAAGAAAATAAAATTTAACTAAATTAAAACTTCCTAAATCAACTAAACTCCTAATTAAAATAGTAAACTACTTGAATTCCTAATATGAAACCCTAAATAAATAAGAAAATCAAATAAAGAAAGGGAAACAAAATTAAATTCTAATAAAATCCTAATTTAACACTATTTTCCCTACATCATACTCTCCCTCTTAAAAATAAACTCGTCCTCAAGTTTCAATAAGTTGGGTGATACTTGAAGTAGAGTAATAAGTCCTCTTTTGGAGCAAATAAATATACGTTGTCATTGATCTTCCTAGGAGAGTTGTCACGCACTATAGTCTTCAAGTCAAAATAGAATGTTGTCGATGTTTCATCCTTTTGATCCTTAACTTGAATGTGTTCTTCTTGCTCAAGCTTCTCCTTTAGGACAACTTGATTTTTCTCAAGCTTCTCCTTTAAGACAGTTTGCTTTTGCTGTTGTTCAATCTTTTCTTCTTGGAGAACTCGTTCAACTTCAACGTCTACTTCATGCTCAATCTCCTTTGATGTGTGATCCTTAATTTGTAACATCTCATGATCTTCATTGGCTTTAAGAATTTCTTTAGGAAGTGCTTTATGCTTCTTGTCTTCTTCCATAACTGGTGAAGCATGTATTCTCTAAAGAAGAAAACTTTTTTTTAATTCTTAATTGTGATTCTACATCAAAGGCTAATTGAAAACATCAAAAAATGTATGGTCAAGTCGTAAATCAATTTGAGCTTGTATGTTTATATTCAGCCCTTTAAAGAATCTTAAAGCTACTCTATATGGATGTTCGCTATAGTCAAGGTGGAGTAACAACCGTCGATAGTCACCAATATATTTTCAGACAGATCTCTGACTCTAATGGCATCTTTGGTATTGCTGGAACAAGATCTGCTCATAATCAGGAGGAAGAAAATCCCTTTGTAACAACTGTTTCATCCTCTACCAAGTTCTAACTGGTGCTTTCCCCTCGAGAAATCTTATGGATTGTAATCCTTCCTACCATGCAAAAGCTCCACCCTTTAATCTACACACAACAAGTCTCAACCTTCTTCCTTTTGGAATCTCCATATATTAAAAAAAAATTGTCTATTTCCATAATCCAATCTAGAAAGTTTTCAATATTTAAATTACCATTAAAGTAAGAAATATCTACCTTTAATTTGAGTTCATTGGTATCTCTATCCCTATAATCACTTCGTCCATATCTAGCATGCCTCCCAAAATCCACAAAGTAATCATGTTTTTCATCCGAATCTTCACATAGACTTGTTGTCTACATCTGTTTGCAAAAACTGGTATGCCGACAGGCAGTTCGTGAGCCACATCATCTCCAGTATGTTGCTTCTCGTCATTCCAATTTCTATTAGCATATTTGCTCAAAGCATCAAGTCAATCTGCAATTTCTTCAAAGCGTCATTCCAAATGTTGGAATCTGAGATCCATTCATTGCTCCAAAGCTGTCAACGCCACCCCTTGTGAGGTCTTAGTTCCTTGATCTTCACCATGAGAACCATCGCTGCCTATAACTTCACTTGCCATTAGATCAGACAAATTTTACTTGCTTTGATACCAACTGACGTAGTGAGTGAGCGCAATAAAACAAGGCTAGGACTCCACTGTACCTTTAAAATTGATAAACAAGTCTCAATCATAGAAACTTAAGCCATAAATATGAATAATTCATTCAATATTCTATCTCCTCAAAAAAAAAACGAATAATAAGTTTATATAGGGTGGTTACAGCCTATTAGGAATCGATATACTCAATGCAGCGGAAAAAACAAATATTTAAAGGATAAATCGATTCCACTAAAACCAAGATCATAGTACATATTATATAGTTAATACGTTAAATACAAAATCTATAGAAAATATAAACGATCCAGACAAAGGTCAGAGATCTTATGCACGTTTGGAGGCTCCTTCACTTAGTCTCTGACTTGGATTCGCTACCGACTCAAAGTAGAACTGAACCAGTGGTGATCCACACGAAGATAATCAGAAAAACCAAAGAGGGATTTGCTAGATCCTCTTTGGCTTCAAGAATCAAGTAAACCAAAGACTATCAAAGGGAGTCTTTGATTCAAAAACCCCAAGGGAGGCGTGTGAGAGAGATGAGAGAAAGGCCAACCTTTTCTTTCTTTCAATGATTGAATAATAATGAATCAATTATTCATTCTCTCAACACGCATGCACTTATATAGTGTTAGAGTGTGTGCCTAGAGCCAATCAATCATTGTAAAATTGAATCTTTGTAATAATGTTCATTGATCAATAAAAGGCATTTTATTCTATATCGCGTAAATCATTATTGTATGTATTGATATATGTCCTTAGAATGGAAGAACTGTGACGAGGGTATCAAGTGTTTCAAATCTTGATAGTGAGAACCCTAGGAGCTTATATGGTGGCCATTCTAGAAACGTTCGTAGCCTTAGTACTGTTCTAAAGTAAGGGCACAGATAATACGGTAAGGCGATCATAGTGTTGAACGACCCTGTTGAAAGGCAATAACTGGTCTCACTTGTCAAGGTTGTTTAGTGACAACCTGGGGCAACACATGGGTGCTTGCTATAGGCAAGTTCACTGGACTGACCCACCAGAGGATTCCATATGGATGGTAACCCTAGTGTCTACGGAACAAATCCTCTAACGAATGGTGGTGCATGTGATCCTTAGACTTGAGATCACCAGAGCGCCTTGTGCATCGATTGGTGTAGTTTGACACTAGCCCAACGCAGTTCTATTCAGAGTTGTTAATAGGTAGTGATTGGCTGCATCAAGGAGTGTATCAAGACTATGGTGGATCGACAGAGGATTCATCACTCCCGAGTACGGGAGAAGTTATCTCACGGCGCAATTCAGTAAATGGTAATGACACTAAAACTATGGCCATATTGGGATTGAGTTGTTGCTCTATCTAGATTATTATTCCGGTCATTGGTCTAGTAACTGAATACATATATATCGAGAGTAACTGAGGTTGATAGTATTTATGTGCCTTGGTCTCATTGAGATAACAGATGATGAAAGGATTGGATTGTACGGTAACCATATCGTTGACAGGTAGCAGCTTCGCTGAATCCAAATCTATCGAGTGGCCATAATGCCTTACTAGGGGCCAATCTTGGTCTGTGTATAGTGAGACGATTAATTGGTGTTAATCGCAATACTACACACTACGGGTATGATAAGGAGCCTATGGGTCACACACATAGAAGATAATTTAAGAACCAGTTTATAAGAAGGGTGTTTTCGTCTTTTTAGGCAAAATGGTATTTTGGTAATCTCACAGTGCAATTAAATTTGCTGAGGTCATAGCCTTTATTTAATTTGTTAGTAAAATTAAATAAGTGAAATTATATTTAAATATGTGTTCGCATATATTTAAATGAATTATTGTTATTGTTAAATGTTAATAATATATCAATTTAATTTAATTGAAATAATAATTAAAATATCTAAATGGGGCTGTTTGGACATAGGGGTTATTTGGGTTGGTGCCCAAGCCTATTCCATAAGCGAATAGGGTATTATGTGCACTATATAAGTGCAGAATTTTTGTGAAATATATAACATTTCATTCAATCATTAAGATTAAAAATTCCAGCCCCCTTTTCTCTCTTCCCATGCCAAATTGCTTTTGTGTTGAATCAAAATATTATTGATTTTGTTCTTGGTTCTTAAGGCTAAAAAGGATATAGCAAATCCCTCTTTAGTTCCTTGGGGTTATCTTCGTGTGGACTACCGCTGGTTCGATCCTACCCTTGGGTCGATAGCGAAACCTGTTCAGAGACAAGTTGGAGGAGCCTCCAAACGTGTGTATGATTTCTTAACTCTAAACTAATTTTTCTGCAGATTCTAATATAATGTATGAACTGTAAATTTGTGCCCTGATCTTGGTTCTAAGGAATGATCCATGTTGTAAATAATTTTGTTTTCCACTGCCATGACTTGATCATTTCCTAACAGTGGTATTAGAGCCTAGAGTACCAGATTTTATAGTTTTATGTATGGTTTATTACATGTGTTTGATTGATAACATGTTGCCTTGATGAATCTGCACAAAATCTACCTTGAAAGCATGTTTCAAGAAATCAATTTAATTGATTAATTTAATTTGTTGATGATCTGCAAGTTTGGTATATTGGGTTATGGATTTTTATTGAAATCAAAAGTTTAGATTGATTGCAAAATCTGTTTGGCGTATTTTTGGTAGAGGGTTGAACTGATCTGATGCTACAGATCAGTGTATGCTCGCCGCAGCGATATAACCCATCGCCACGGCATGCATTGTTTGGTGTACTCACTGATTACAAAATTAGCGCTCGCCATGGTGATATAACCCATCACCACGGCGATCATCCTTAGCGCGATCGCTGATTGAATATTAGCGCTCGTCGCGACAATCGTAGTCTAAGGTACGCGCTAACGAAAATCAGTTCTCACCGTAGCGATCGCACGTGGTGCATGTATGCAACGCAAGTCAACGCATGCTGCAACGATCTAATCCATCGCCGTAGCGAGCACACTTTTGAGTGCATAAGGGCCAAAGTGAAAAGTTTCAAAACTTTTGGACCAAATGTAGATCTGCAAATTGTTCGGGGCTAATTAATAATTCACCCACCCAATTCAAAAATTGATTGTTTTTGAAATGTATGCCATGTACTTGTTTGTATATTACATGGTGCCCGGTACATGAGCCTTAGACCTATGGTAAATGTTTTAAAATTTTTGGGTATGTATGGTTGTAATTTATTAAATAGGGTCTGCGTGTCCTGCCTTTTTCCCCTTCTCGATGTACATTCTTTTCTCATCTCATTCCCCTCGAATGTTAATCGGGGTTTCTAAATTTGTTGATGTAAAGAATTTTGTATAATTATTCTCACTGTAAATTTAGAATGATGTTTTTGTAATGTACTTGAAGACGGATCAAGAAAGAGACAATCATACTTGAAGACTCAAGATTTTATTGTAGGACCCCTAGGTGACCTACCAATTCCTCTAGGCTCGAGGAAATTGGTTTTAGTTGGGCCATGTACCGGCACTTTTTAATATTTTGTTTAGAATGCATGCTAAGGTTGAATGTTAAATAACATGCCAAAACAATGTCATTCTAACAATGATAATAATCTGGTGAGACATTAAATAATAACCCCTCAATTAAAGTATATTAAGTCACGTATGCCTTCCATCACCATGGTTTTAATCAAACCACTGTTCGTCGGAATCTTGTTCTCCAAAAGGAAGGGTACACTTCTACCAGTGGGAGGTTAAAATTCATTTGAGTTTTCCTTAATAGTGATGGGTCGACTTAAAATGACGGTTTTGCTTGTTCGTCAAAGAAAAGGTTGATAAATGTGTCATAGGCATAGTAGAGAAGTGCACATGTTATGTGTACGTGGTGACATGTAGTGTCCACTCTACTAATACTGAGAATCACACTTGAGGACGATGGTTGGGGCCATTGGGTTGTGTGATTGGCTTGTTGGCTTCTTCACATTTGAGGTTGATAGTAGGAGCTGTCAACTGGTGTGGATTAAGTTTGTTAACCTACCTAATCAACCCATTTTGGCTTGTTCGCCAAAGCGAAGGCTTGAAATGGGCCAGATGGGATCTCAATCCACTAG